CCCTACAGTTACCAGAATCTTGTTTGTTCACTTGGAACATACGTAGTCCTTTGTTTTTACTTTTTGGTTCTCTGACTAGTTACTAACATCTGGGTTTTCTCACTTGAAGATCCTCGACTGCCTGCACCTGGAGTGAGGGCCCCTTCCTGGCCGTGAGCCTCAGTGACTTCGTCTGTGAGTTGGGGCAAAGGGTGCTACACTGCCTGCCTCAGCCACTGGGAGGGCAGAATGCTGTTGGGGAGAACTGAAGTGCCTTTTACTTTTTGGTTCTCTGACTAGTTACTAACATCTGGGTTTTCTCACTTGAAGATCCTCGACTGCCTGCACCTGGAGTGAGGGCCCCTTCCTGGCCGTGAGCCTCAGTGACTTCGTCTGTGAGTTGGGGCAAAGGGTGCTACACTGCCTGCCTCAGCCACTGGGAGGGCAGAATGCTGTTGGGGAGAACTGAAGTGCCCAGTCCTGTGCTTGATCCAGGAGGGACCAGGGTGCAGACAGAGACAGGGGCGCATAGGATATAATTCCCGCCTGCAGCTTGCTGCCTAGTTGGGGAAATGGACACTCAGGAGAATGACATTATGAGACAGATCAATTGAGTGATATAAATACAAGCAGATTTTTTCTTCCTTTTAAAACTCTGTATACAACATGCTTTCCCCAGATACTGTCATCCACCCCTGGGAGCTCTAATTACCATCTAAATGTGGAAGGGCTCCCCAAACCATTTCACCCCAGGCTTCTCTTGTGGGGCAGAAGTGGCAGAGCTTGGCTATTGCCTGCTGGCCTTCTCTACTGTGTTCTCAGGGCTGAATGTTTCCTTCTCGTCCCCTCTGTTCCTCCTCTTTAGTTTCCTATCAAGCTGGTTGACTTAGCTTCACCAGAGTTAAGAGAATGGAGATAGCAGCATCTGCTGGAGAAGTTGAGGGAGGCTTTGTGGAGGGACTGGGGTTTGAGCTCGGCGTTGAAGGGGCACTTTGAACATGCAGAGGGAAAGGAAGAGGACTTTCTGGGCTGTAGACACAAGAGCAGAGGCCTAGCCATCAGAAGAGCTATGTGTTTTGAGACTGCAGAAATTAGATCAGCCTGAATCGAACAGGGGATTGACATTGGCTCTGGGTGGATGGGGATGCGAAGGGAATCTGGAGGACCTTGATGGCTAGGCTGAGTGAGGGGTTTGGACGTCTCTTGGAATTTAGGCATTGTACACCTGTCAGAAGTTAAAGCCGGAGGAATTTATTTTTAATGGAATAACCCTGCCAGGCTTTTCCAGCAGGACTAGTGCAGTTGGCTGCTGGTTGTCAGGTGTGGATTATTTATTCATTAGAGGTTACCTGGGCCTTTTGTTCTCTCTACTTCTGGTACCGGCCACCTTTTCTTCATCCACTCTACCTTAGAGGGTCATCAGAGACAGTGACAAGTAAAAACTCCAACCATTGTAGTTTTTTTTTGTTTTTTTAAAATTGTGTTATTTGAGAGGAAGTGGTAGAGAAACTTGAGAGTAATAGTTGAGAAGAGTTTTCTAAGAGAAATGCAGATTTTATTTATTTCTCTATGTATTAGTTCAGGGCGCTTTATTGCATGTGACAGAAACTTAGACTGCATTAGAGGCAGAAAAGAGAAATTTATTACATAATATTCCAAAACCTTGGGACGTATTGGGGCAACTGGCCTTTGGATAATTGATCCTGAATGCTGCAGTCTTTTCTCCTGGGTCTGGAATATATGGCTTCCATCTTCACAGCTCCTGACCAGAGAATATAGGGAGCTC